CCATCGGTGGGCGCCGCGACAGCCGAGCGTGGAACATGGGCTGGACATGTCTTTCATGGACCGATGTGAAGTGCCTACACCACGCCACTACGAGTGACGCCTGGACGGGTATTCGCAAGATCGGTACCATTCCAGGCTATGTGCCGATCGCCACACACGCCGTGAGGCATTTAACAGTTCGGGTTCTTTCTTGCGTCATGACGGACAGAATCCTCTTACTACGAGCCCTGGGTACAAGTTCGAGTTCGAGCACAAGAAGAAGCAGGTCGACGTGGTCATCGACATGCACTCAGCCACTACTGGTGGTTTTGAGTTCTGGCCTGGCGAACAAGGGGCCATTATGCGCCGCCAGACTACCCCCCCAATGGCCATCCTAGCCATCCGATGCTAGCGAACGGGGGCGGCTCTCTGCACCCACCCAATACGAGCTGGAAGTATCCAGAGTTGGCCAAATTGCCGGCACCACGCAGCCAATGCGAGTTCTGCGAGATTGCGCCGGCGGCAACACCTGCAGCAGAGCAGCTGCGGACGCGCATCCAGGCACCCCGACTGAAGCCTTTGCCTGCTGGGATGCGTTTCTCTTCTTCCTCCGCTGCACCGAATGTTCCACAGACTCCAAAATTGCCACCAGGGCCAACGCAGGACGAATCCCAACTGGACCGACTCCTACTCGGAGGGGAGCCGGCGGCCACACCTGCACCGCATTGGACCGACGAGGACATTTTGACCATGGCCCACTGGTGGACGAGAATAGAGGAACGCAAGGAGGATTACTTTGAACCACTTGTGAAGACACTTCCTCTTGGCACCTGGGGTCGTTGCAGTCGATTTCGAGACGTCCGTGTACGCGACTTCATATGTGCGCGACTGCATGGTTCTGCACGTTGCCGCGCCGTTGTTCGCTTGTGGCCAGCAAAGAAAGATGTCACACTCACGCTGGGCACAGGGAAGATCTACGGACCCATCATCGACATCATTCGCAATGGGCCATGCGTCAGCGTGCAGATCCCGCGTCGGGGTCATGGCCCATTCTGGGCCATCATGTGGTACTCCGAGAAGAATGACGACCAGAACGGCTTTCCCTTCGCATTTCCATTGTATACCGAGCTGCCTGACATGTTCATTGGCCCCTTCAACGCATGCGATGTCGACCTCCATCTTGGACGTCTCGATGACGATTCCGCCATCGACATGTCGCTAGAAACGCCCGCACTCCGAAAGAACGACAATCGGGACATCAAGACCGACCAGACAAAAGTGATTACGACGATCGAAGTAATCGAGGGTGTGCCGTCCATTTTTGCCAGATGGTCGACTGAGGTTATGAGGAACTTTCGTGAGACTGGCAGAAATACACAGGCTGTTAGAATTTTGCAGACCCAATTGTGCGAGGTGGATCAGGTATGTACGGCAACATACAGAGTTTCATACTACTGGGACGGTCATCTCGAGATACGGTTCCGTTTTGACCCCAAGGCGGCACGGCGCAATATGCATTTCATTTTTTTTTTCAGTCAATGGGCCAAAGAACTACCAAACGCTTGTGGCCACAACCGTATCCTGTCTACGATGATGACGGTGATGAATTGGAACGGTACTGCGGATTTTGATTTATTCCGTTGGATCCCACATCTTTTCGCCATCATACAGAGCGATGCCACGCTTCGTTTGGTGGAGACCCCAGCGTCGGACATCCTCAAGCATCATCTAGCATTAGCGTTCCTCCTCAGCCTCTGGGAAACGACAGTCCTCTCCGACCCGAGGTACAGCGACATGCAGACGGGCCCGATGAGAGAACAATGTAACCTCAGGGCTGGCGCCACTCTGCCACGCGCTGAAGATAACACCCCTGCCGCTGACCCCGGCAGCGTCGCGTCGGCCGTTGCCCCCGCCCAGGAACAACTCATGGAAGCGATGCGCTCCGACTATGATGACGGTGGGGGAGACGCCAACGACGAATATGCAGTGGATCCGGAGCTTCGCCGGAGAGCGGAGAAACTCTTACGATATCATCAGGGCACGGCCTCAGCGAACCGTGGTCACGACCAGACCATGGATGGGGGTCTCTCTGATCACATGACCGATAAGGGATTGCAGTCTTTGGCCAACGATCTCGTCAGCGATCGTGCCCACCTCGCACCGACTCATGCTGTCCGTGTGATCGGCCGAAAGTTGGGCGCTGGTTGCAACGCCCGCAACCGCATTCAGGAACTCATTGAAAACGGAGCGGCTGCCTTCAGACCGCAAAGCGCCATTGCACCAGCTGCTACCGCGACTTCCCCACTGATGGCACAAACGAAGATGACTTGTTCCACGCATGCACTGAGTCATTTAGGCACGGGGGGGCAGGCGCGTTGCAGGTCCAGGTCCGCGAACAAATGGGCGCGATCATCGTGCGCCAACTTGCGCGAACGGAAGTCCAGATTCGCATCCAGGGTCAAAGTTACAAGCTGCCGCTGAAAAGGACTACCCGCGCAGACTGGCGAACAACGCCGCGAACCGACGCGCCACGCGGTTGGCGGCCAGCAGTCCGGGCCCTGGCCAGCGTCGCATCGGTGGAGAAGAAGACGCTGACGAAGAGGGCGCCGTCCTCTATCTCCCGTGTTCCGACCTTGCCCATCGCAACCAGGAAGATGGGATCTTCCACCGTCAGATGACCGACGACAGAGTGCGGACGCATCAGTGCTCATTCACGTTAGAGGATATGGATGAGGGCGCGCGGCTGGTCCGTGAGCGCGCGCAGTTTGGCTGCGCGGGTCGGCGGGCACAGGCTCCTGGAGCGATGCCTCGTGGCGGACGGCTTGCCCGTGGGTCATTTACCTTTTTTGCTCCCTCTGGGAGGGGGCGAGGTCAAATGAACAGAGTCACGTTAGGTGAGCTCCAAAGGCAGGTGCCCAAAGGCGCTGCAAAGGGTAACGCGGGTGACTTTACAGTTGCCTCTGATGAACCTATTCGCTTCGCCCCAGCTCCTCCACCTGCCGCGCCGCGATGGCCCCGCTCCCGCCCATGCCCCTGGCGGCGCTGGCTGGGCTGACACCGCGGGCTGGACTGGTGGCGCTGCTCATTCATCGACGACGCGCTGTCCCCTGACACCGCCAAGACGCGAGCGCGACAACGCTGATGAGCGTGGCCGCAGCAGGAGTGCCGCGAGCGAGTGCCGCAACGTCTACACGTGGTGGCGTCGGGACCTCCAGCACTACCAACGCGATGCGTATCGTCACTGGTCATACTACCTGTTCCAGTGGATCTGCGTCGGCGGCGACGATACTTAATCCATATGGCCATGGGGCAACTATAGGACCCAGCACTACCAGCTGGTTCATTGGAAATTGAAATCACGTTTGGGATGAGCGCTACTACGAGAACAGTGCGCGAATGCTGACTGATTTATTTTACTGCGCAGTCTGGTTTCCTATGCTACCACCGTCGATTATGGAGATTGATTCGATTGCATTTCGTTCATCATTCATTTGTATATTGAGACACATGGACAGATATGCAATGTGATTTGCAATCAGGCAATCGGACATAAACGCACCCTGGCTGGTCGCCCGCCAGTGCCCATACATCAGCGTTTGTTGTATCATGGGACGGCGTCAGTGTACGATCGATGCAAAGCATTACACCAGTATCATACTTGTTTTTATGTTTCAAATTTCCTTTGGGGCCTGGAGTGCCCCACATCATGCATGATATATTCTCAGGGATCAGTTGTCATCACAGCTACCCTAGTACTTTTCAGAATGCGGCGCGGAGTGCCCTAGCAATTTTTGGGGCCCGGATAGCCCCGTGAATGATAGTTTTTTGCCTTGGACGGGTTGTCGTCGCAACTCTGGTCCGCATCAATTTACGCGTGCGTCGCGTCGGTGGCAACTCTTGCATCGAGGGATGTTGGTACCACCTCTCTGCTCTCTATCCCTTGCTCTCCCATCCCTGTCGCCTGCGGTGACGGAGTGTTGTCCAGGAGTGCCGAAGCGTTTTTGGGTGGCGCACCTTGGGCCCGCTAAAGGCGGGTAGACACTCGTAAGTATCCCGCGTGACGGGGTTGGCCCCTTCTTTTACCTTTCCTAGCCAACGCACCCTCGTTCGGAAGGGGCGGTGGATAAAACGGGACCGTGAGTGGACCTCACACCTCTGTTCCCGATTCCTGCCGTCGTCTCCCATGGGTTCGAGGCCATCGGGGGCTGGCAGGTTTCGGGGCGGTGTGTGTGTGTGTGTGTGTGTGTTCGTGCGTGTGCGCGAAGTCCGTTCGCTTCCCGATTCGATCTCTTATTCCGCAACTCTTTTGGCTCTGGTATTGGCTAAACGACAACAGTGCGGTGCTAGCTGTGCAATGCCCTCGAAAAAGGAGTCCTACTCCTCGCCTCTACCCACTGACCCCGTATAGGAACGACCCCTCGGCCGTTTCCCTATACGCACAGGTGCCGACAGATGCAGCCGAAAGATTGGGTACAGGGCTCCAGGCGGGTTTCCTTGCGATGCTGTTCCATTCCGTGACGTCGGATCTCAGGTGACGCTCGCGCTGAAGATCTTTGCTGGGTTCTCTTCCCTCGAGATTGTGGTCAGAACGCACCCCGAGAGAGGTCCAGAGAGTGACGGTGGTCGGGGGGCCCGAAACGGCGCGGTGACCACACCGTGCGGTGAGTCAGTGGGATTTGGGCTGACCGCGCAGGTCGTTTTCCAGAGGTGTCTCGGGCGACAGGGGTTTCTGGGGTCTCAAATCCGTGCGGTGGCGGACCGTGCTGTGAGGTGTTGTGCTATCTCGAGGTCGCCGCACGTTCTGTCACCGCGCCGCTTTGAGACCCCAAAGTTCTAGGCCTCCCAGGTGCGGCTGGAGCAGATGCGGCCGGAGGATCGCGCCGCATCGCCCACGCATCGGCCATGCCGCGCGATGTGATCGCCGATGTATCGGCGGTGCGGCGAGATCCTCCGACCCCACCTGCTTCGACCCCACCACAATGGCCTCTGAGGTTTTCCGTCCCTTGGCTCTGCTGCCCCAGGCGTAGCCCCGAGCGCGGGCGGCCCCGTGTGCACGGCCGCCGCGACCTCGTGGGCGGAGCCCGTCAAGCAGTTTTTCTCCTGGCGCGGCCCCGGGGAGCCCAGGGCCGGCGGGGCGGCGGCCGCGATGATGAGCAGCGTCCGCTTTGACGCGTCCGCCGCCTGACAGCGCGGATCACCACAGAGGGCCTCACAGTGAGGATCGTCAGCCGTTTTTGCCGCCACGGGCGTGGGCGTTCGAGGGCCTGCGCGGCTGAGCTTGAAATCCCCCGGGCGATGATCCTTTTGACAGCGCGTGCAGGCGATCCCGAGGAGAAGGAGAAGGAAGGACGGAAGCGACGCATAGCGACGAGAGGGAAGAAAGGAGTCCCAGGTCAATTGCGTGAGGAGAAGGAGGATAATGATCATGAGAAACGTGGCTCTTTCGGAGTCGGTTTCCAACAGCTGGCAGGCTTACGAGCCAGTGTTTAGCATTTTGGCATTCCGTTTCTCATTTAGTGATGTCGCGTCTACAAATTTCAAGATATCCACAGGTGATGGGCAATGTTTGGTCGAATGTCGCAATAAATTATTGACACTGTATATATGGTATGTATCTCTCGTTATCTCGCTCTTTCTCTTGTTCTGTCTCCTCTCTCTCTCTCTTTCTCTCTCTCTCTCTCTGTGTTTATCGTTTTTGATTCTTCATCTCTCTCTTTCTCTGTCTCTGTCTCTGTCTCTCTCTCTCTCTCTCTTCTCCCTCCCCTCCTTTTCCTCGTCGATCCCCCGTCTACACCCCATGATCGCACTTGCGAGCCTCAAGAGGCAGATGCTGTCACTGCTCGGGCGTCCCACGAGTTGTGACACAGAGGGGCTGCCTGCTCGACCTGGCTTCCTTGGCCCGCCTTCCCGACTCGCCCAGTAGGGCCTGCCGGCCCGATTTGCCCGTCTGGTTCTACCACGTGTTTCCCATTATGAGTCCCCCTCCTGCTACTCTCCGTTGTGCTCCATCCTCCTCCCTCCCATTTCCATCCGTCATCCTTTCCCTCGTTTGAAGGGGCTGCGCTAAATGCACGTGATAGTCATGGAAGATGGACCCCCAGGTGGGCGGGTACCGAGGGTTTGGGATATACGCGTTGACTGACACGCGAGCAGGTAGAGCTTGCCCCTGGAGGAATTGTAGCGCATTCATATGGTTAGGTGAGGTTTGCCACCGAGTTCCGCGGCCCGCCCGGGTGCCCAGGTGCCTAGTTGCCCAGCTGCTTTATAGCCCCATAGCCCTATTGCCCTATAGCCCTGTAGCCTTACAGCCCTATCGCATCACAGCCCTATAGCCCTATAGCCTTACAGTACTAAAGCCCGAAAGCCCTATAGCTATGTAGCATTATAGCCTTATAGCCCTAGAGCCCTACAGCCCTTTAGCTCTATAGCCCTATTGCCCTATAGCCCTATAGCTTTATAGACCAATAGCCCTGTAGCCCCATGGCCCTATAGCCCTATAGCCCTATACCCCTATAGCCCAATAGTCATATAGCCCTAAAGCCCTCTATCCCTATAGCCCTATAGCTTTATATCCTTATAACCCAATAGCCCTATAACCCTATAGCCCTATAGCTCTATGTATGCCTACAGCCCTATAGCCCCATAGACCCATGGCCCTATAGCCCGTTAGCCCCACGGCCCCATGGTCCTATAGCCCCATAGCCCTATAGACTCATAGCCCTATGGCCCATCAGCCCTATAGTCCCATAGCCCCAGAGCCCCACAGCCCTATAGCTCTTCAGCCCTATAGCCCTATAGCCCCATAGCTCTATAGACCTATACCCTATGGCCCTATAGCCCTATGGCCCTATAGCCCTATAATTCCATAGCCCTATAGCCTCTACAGACCTATAGCCCCAGCGCCCTATAGCCCAACAGCCCCATAGCCTAATAGCCCTAAACATACTTTGATTCGTTTTTTTGCTCAGGTATCATTATTGTTATTGTTGTTGTTGAACTCTCACTACCAATACTATTGATTGTTGATCCCCACCCTCGGGACACATTGTATTTTTCAGTCGAAGTGCCTTTCCCTGGACTCGCACCCTGTCCTTTATTAGGGCAAGTATTGGGTCTGAGAGTTTTGCCCCTGGCCCCCGAGTTACAATCACAACGGCTCCCGCCTGATGCTTCCTCTCCATGTATTCCATAATCGCGATCTCGCGCGGGACGTCCTCATGATGTATGGAGAAATCGCGCTCTGGCGTGGGACCTCCTCGCAATGTATTCAGACGCCGCGCCCTCGACACTCCGGAATCACGCTCTTGCTCTAGCCTATCTCACGTTTCACTTGAGAATCGCGCTATCGTTCGAGACCCGCTGTTCATGCAGGACGCACGCTTCAGCAACCCGCCTGCTCGACCTGGCCGCCCGGGCCCGCCTTCCCGACCCGCCCGTTAGTGTCTACCCTCCCGATCTGCCCGTCTGGTTCTGCCACGTGCTTCAGCCCCCCTCCTGCTACTCTCTCTCTCTCTCTTTTTCTTTCTCTCTCTCTCTCTGTCTCTCGTGTTCCATCCTCCTCCCGTGTCCCTTTCTTCCATTCGTCTTCTCTTCCCCTGCCGCAGGGACGTCATGACATACACGTTGCAGGCAAGCAAGATATACAGTACCCCCAAGAGGGCACGACCAGAGACTAAGAGGCCGGATATAGAGGGTTCGTGATATTCGTGTTGAGTGGCACGTACGCTAGTCTTGAATTGATTGTTGCTATTGTGTTGACCTCTCATTACTGAAGGGTAGTTATAGTTGACCCGCCACGTCGGGGGCAGATTTTGTTTTTGTTGTTAAGGTTGAGTGCGCCTTCCCCGACTCGCATCCTGTTTCTTCTAGGGGAGAACGAGGGGTCACCAACTTGTGCCCCTGACCGCCGACTTACAACAAGAACGGCTCCCGCTCGATACTTCTTCTCGCACGGGACCTCCTCACAGGTTATGCAGGAATCGCGCTCTCGAGTGGGACTTTCTCACACTTTCTCCAGACGCCGCGCTCTCGACGCTCAGGAATCACGCTCTCAGTTTGGCTTATCTCACGGTATACTTAGGAATCGCGCTATCGCTCGAGCTCTCCTTGCGACCCATGCAGTATTGACGCTTCAGCAAAACCCTTGCTCTATCCGCCCGATCAGCCCGCCTGCTTCTGCCACGCGCTCCCTGCTCCCAGGCCGCCCTCCTGCGAACATCGTGCTCCATCCGTTCCCGTCCCCCTTCCACCCGTTACCTCCAGGGGCTGCACCAATTACGCGCGGCAGGTAGGGAAGATGTATCCCAAAGGGGGTACGATCGAAGACGAAGAGTGCGGGTACTGAGGGTACGGGTTAAATGGCCCGCGAGCAGGTCGTAGCGAACAGTCTTAAACTTATTGTTGTCGTTGTTGTTTCTGTTGTAGTTCTTGAGCTATCACGTCGAAACAGCTGTTATTGTTGATCTAGTAACCATTAAATGTCTTGAATCAAAGTGCTTCTCCTGGGGCTCGCAACCTCATTTTTACAAGGGAAAGCGAGGGGCCACCACATTGGGCCCATGGCCCCAGGTTTACAACATCAACATCAACAACAACGGCTCGCGCCTGATACTTCCCCACCATGTATTCCCAAGTCTTGCTCTCGCTCGGGAAGTCCACACAATTTATACAGGAGTCGTGCTCGCGCGTGGGATGTGCTTGCCATTTCTTCAGACGCCGCGCCCTCGACAATCAGGAATCGCGCTCTCGCTGTCGCCCGAGACATCCTCGCGATTCGTGCAAGGCGCACGCTTCAGCAACCCGCCTGCTCGACCTGGCCGCCCGGGCCCGCCTTCCGACCCGCCCGTTAGGGTCTACCCGTCTTATCTGCCCGTTTGGTTCTGCCGCGTGCTTCCTGTTCCCAACCCCCTTCTTGCTAATTCATCTCGTGCTCCGTCCTCCTCCCTCCCACTTGTCCGTTCTTTCCATCCGTTCTTTCGTCCCATGCTCCAGGGGCTGCACGAAATACAGTATTGCGTATCAGAAAGATATGTATATATATATATATACCGCCAAGGGAGTCTGATCGAATATATACCGCCAAGGGAGGCCGCGACGAGCAAGGCCCGTCACAGGACGGGTTCGCTTCTGCCTCGTCGGGCTGACGTTCGCTCCGGGGCCGGCGGCGCTGCACTGCCGTGAGATGCCTTTGCCGGCCCGCGCCCACGCGAGCGCCTCCCGATATTACCTGACCGCGGTCGAGGCTCGCTCGTGCGGTTGAGGTCGCGCCCGGGTGCGCTCTCCGCTATGCTCCGAGATGCGCCCCGCCCAAGCGCTACAGTTACCCGAGGGGCCCAACCTAGCCCCCCTCCCTGGGTTACGACCGCTTGGGATATACACATGTTGAATGGCCCGCGAGCAGATATGTGCGAACGGTATTCACATTATTGTTGTTGTTGCTGCTGATGTTGTTGATGATATGTTTGTTGTCGTTGTCGTTGTTGTTGTTGTTGTTGTTGCTGCTGCTTATGTTGTTGTTGCTGTTGTTCTTGTTGAGTTGTCAGTCTTGACGTCATTGCTAAATAATCATGGTTGTTGACTCGGGTAACCATTGTATGTTCCAGCTGAAGCGAGCGTGTCTAGCCGGGTTTGCACCCGGTTTCTTAGAAGGGGCAGTGTGGGGTCACTACACAGCGAGGTTGTTCCCCAACGGCTACAATATCAGCGGTTCCCGCCTGATACTTCCTCACAGAAACTATAGCAAGCACGCGAACTTCAGAACCAACTTCCGAACTTCTACCGAACAGACCCCCGAACAGGAACCGAACAAACCCCCGAACAGGAACCGAACAAACCCCCGAACAGGAACCGAACAAACCTCCAGACTTCTACCGAACAAAATCCCGCGACCTCCCTGGAGAGGTCCTCTGGGGCCGCCTGGAGAGGCCTTCTGGGACCGCCTGGAGAGGCCTCCTGGGACCGCCTGGAGAGGCCTCCTGGGACCGCCTGGAGGGACCTTCGGGGGCGGCCTGCAGACGCCTCCTGGGGCCGCCTGGACTGGGCCGCCGCCTGAACACGCCTCCTGGGGCTGCCTGAAGACGCTTCCCGTGGCCGCCTGGAAATGTCTTCAAGGGCCGCCTGGAGAGGCCCCCTGGGGCCGCCTGGACACGCTTCCCGGGGCCGCCTGGAGACGCCTCCTGGGGCCGCATAGAGAAGCCTTCAGGGGCCGCTTGGAGGCGCCTCACACGGCCGTCTGGACACGCCTCCCGTGCCCGCCTGCCGCCTGGAGAAGCTTTCTGGGGCCGCCTTGAGGCCACTTCTTGTGGCCGCCTGGAGAGCCCTCCTGGGGCCGCTTGCTGAGGCCGTCTGGAGAAGCCTTCTGGGGCCGCCTGGAAGCC